TAAGTTTTGTAGGAACATAGAAGGTTTTAACGGTGCCGTATCATCACCTTCCTCTGACAGGTAGATATTTTTCTATTTTTCAAATCATTTCATTTCTAGTGAAAATTGATTCCTTGGCAAACACTGAATTTTTTGCCAATTTTTGCTTGCTAATGCATTTTTTATAACTTACATATATTCATCACAAAGACATTACAAACAAATTAGAAAATAAGTGAGTATTTCTAGAAAGTTCATGCATTTCAACTTGGAAAGTTTACATGGGTACCCTAACTTTTAATTATTTAATGTCCCCCCTACATCACTACATCCTGATTTCTATTTAAATATTTAAGTGATTAATAACTTTCTGCTTTTCAAATGCATTTCATAGTCATATATGCTCAGTACAGAAAATTCTCATGACCGACTTACCAATACTATAATAAAAATAAAATACACGCAAAAGTTTTCTAAAAATTTACATATTTGTTTCTTTGCAAACATGTACATGAATATTCTCGTTTAATTCTTGAATGTGTATTTTCCTATATCACAACTAAAATTTTGATTGCTTATTTTAAATTAATTACATATTCCATGAAAGTTACGTATTTGAACGTCATTGTGTTTTCTGTTTGTGTGTTTCTCTTGTGTTTTGAGAGTGCGCGGTCAGTAATCTCTTAGATATTTCGAAACTATCTTCTCTTTGCTATTGGTACATGTCTTGGTACATGTCAATAATTTTCTGATATTTTCCCTGCTAATTACCAGTTTACTAGTTATTTAAATAGTTAAAAGTATATTTGTTGATCATTAATGTGATAGATTTCTTGAGTATTTTGGTAAAAAGGGTTTATTTTATTCATGTGAATGAAACTGATGTTTCCTTAAAATATTATTTATTATTCACAGTATTAGTCAGTTATGACAAAATACCGAATTTTTTCTCGTTATTCAACATACATAGGTATATTTCAGTATTCCAATTCTTTCCCACAGTTGTAATTTTTCCTATTAATAATTTGAAGATGAATGGAATAAATGCAGAAGATGCTGACCTGAAGTAAAAAGAGTTCTTCAGATCTAGAAAAGTAAGGTTATTCAGCAGGATGTGCAAATATTCTTCAAATTCAAAGCTTACGAATTAGAAGCTGGAATGACATAGCATACAACAAATAAACATGCAAGTGGGAAAAGAGTGATGGACAACGTTTTTGCAATATCCGGACGGTAATTATACGAAACTAGTTACATTCTAATTCACCATAAAGGGTGGTTGTAGCAAAGGTAATATGTCAGCAAACTCCTTGAAAATAAATGAGCACCTAATCTTAGCTTTTACAAAAGTTTTAGTAAAATTGTAAATTCTATGTAAAAGCAAAGATCACTTAGAATTTCAAGAGATTGTATGCATATTTCACTTGCTACAACAAACTTCAAGCTGACCCTGATGCAGTCCTTCAGGATAGTGACATTATGGTGCTTTTCACTGCAGGAGAAGAGATAAACCATGGCTTTTTAGCATTGTGTGTGCTTTTAAAGAAGAGGTAGCAGGTTCAAATCTCAGCTTTTTAAATTTCTGGAACTGTTATTAAAATAAATAATGAAATCAATTAATAATATAATTATTAATATAAAAATAAAGAATAGAAGTCTTAAATCCTAACTAAAAGTAATGATAGATTAATAATTAAATATAATGATAAATTAAATAATTAAAAATACAAAAAGAAAATTAATTAAAATTGATGTCATTACAAACACGTGGTTAAAGAAGTCATTACCACAAAAATTAAAACTTTGAAAAAGTACTATTACCACAAAACATAAATGTATCATGCATGATGTCATGCAAACATGTCTATGTCACTCCCATTTGTAACGTGATTCCAAGATGCAGCGGCCACGCCTCTTTCCTGTGACATCACTTCTGCAGGCTGGTTACAGGAGTTACTACTCAGGTACACAAACCTATTTCTTTATGTTTAAAGGAATAAATTACAAAAGTACTAGGAGGTGAAATAACGTAGTACAATACTGTCATAAACTTTAAATAGTTAAGAGTTTTAAGTTCTTCCGTGGTGAGTTTTCCTATTGGCTTTACATCTCATGCTGCTCCTCCTCCTCATCCATCTGAGCCTCTCCTTTATTCTAATATGATGCAATCAAGAAATCTGAATCTGCTATAATATGAGAATTATATAAACAGATATTTAACCTACGTGAAAGAATATTTTAGAGCAACTGTTTAAGATCTGATCTTCTATGCTGTCATACAGTTAGAGTGATCTTACTAGGAAACCTGGTGACTTCTCACGCAGGCTTCAATAATATCAACACAGAAGAAGAGTAAAAAAAACCCTTAATTATTCATCAAACTCTTAACAAAAATCTACATACTTCATGCTCACAATAACACCGATGACCTGAGGTGGGAACTTAAGGATAATGTAACAATAAATTCAAAGATAAGTACTGGCACTAGACTAAAAATTTTGTTTAAGGATAACTACCCTGACTCAACAACCAACCCAGAGATACACTTATTAAATGGCCAAAGAGGCATATCACCAACTCATCATAACAGCAGAAAAGCACAAAATACCAACTCGCGCTGGCTAGTGAAATCACACTCTGAATAAACTTCAAGTTTCGATTGTGTTTATAATCTCTTGGTTTGCCTATATGTTTGTTAAAATTTTGTTGAAACATTTTGCTTAAGTTACTTACAAATACACTGTACCACTTTTTATTAAAGAATGAATTTGTATCTACAAAATAATATGGATTTACACCAGTCTGCTGCATGGAAAATGCTCTTTATGATATTGTCAATATTATTAGCACACAAAAAATCTGAATTCCATGTGGCTGAGATCTCCTTCGATGTCTCGGGTACCATTGACTCTATTAGATAGCTATCTTTGCTCTCCACCCTTAGAGATTTTGGGATACACAAAAATATTTATAGAATCTTTCTCAGTTATTTTAACGAAAGGAAAGTTATTTAAAGACTTAATAAGGATATTTGCATTGAAAGAATTGTGCACAAAGGATGCCCAAATGGCTCCTGCAATGCTCCACTGCTTTGGAACACTGTAATGTATGGATTGTTAAAGAACGAGTGCCCAAATTATGTAAGAATGTTATGTTATGCTGAAGACATTTTGTATGTGATTTGTGTAAACTCTTTGGAGAAATTACAGAAACTATTTCCATTTGCTATAGAAGATCTAAGAATGTGGATTGAAAAAGAGAAAAGCCGAGATTAAATTTACAAAAAAACTGATTTCTTGTTTTACCCAAAGGGTGGAAAAAAACCTAAACCACCACAACTAAATATGAAGGTGTTTAGAATTAAATGTGATGAAAACCTTAACTATCTTGTTTTTTTTTTTTTGTTGTTGTTGTTTTTGATTATATGCTGAATTTTCAAGAACATTTTAATAATATTTACAATAACTAACTCTATTCTGAGGCATTTTAAAAGAAATTGCTCAGCTTAGTCATTAGCACTGAAAAGTAACATTACATTAATTTACGAAACAGTTATTACTCCCCATTATATTATACCATGTTGCGGCTTGGGGTTCCATGCCCATGGACCTGCAGCGAATCAGAAATAAATTAGATACCCTGGCTGCTGCTTCTGACCAGATGCTTTAAAACAGCTTTGATGGAAGAAATTTGCATATTGGCCGGTATGCTGTCCCTCTCAATATTTTATTTTTTATAATGATAAATTTAAATTACATTCACAAAATGTTGATTTTATTACTTATGGAGGTTTTACCGCATGTAATAGATTTTTTTTTTGTCTTTACTATTAACAGTATATATCCCGCATTAGGTAAAGCAGTAGAATTCCAGAGACCAAATGTTTGCATACAAGAATTGCATATATTTACTGCCATTTCAGATTATCACAATGGAACTGGTGCAGCATATATGGTTTACTTGTTTTGTACAGAAATAGACTATGACAAAATTTGACTTGAACCTTACAATTGGGTTTTTCAAGCCAAAGATACAGACTCATTATCTGGTTTGGAAGCACTAGCAGATCCCGATAACACTAATGTATTGGTCTCATATATAAAAGATCTCCTTGTAAACTTGAGAAAATACAGGAAGTGAATACGAACTGGGTGAAAGCCCATACTGGTGTTATAGGCAAAGAGAGGGATGACATGTTTGGCCAAACAGGCTGCTATGCGTAATCCCTGGGATGCGTTTCATATTCAGGTATAAAAAAGAATTGCTTTTGGTAAAATCAAGGATTTCTATTATGATTGCTGGAAAAAGAAATGGAACATTTTGGGAAAAAGGAAAGATTACTTGTTGAACTTTGAAGTTTCTAAAAATATGATAATGATATGTGATTTTGATTACAATTAAATAAAAATTTTGTTTGCTTACATCTAAAAATAAATATGGATTACTGGTATTTACATGTTATTGGAATTCTACTATTTACACATATAATGAAGAATATTGCATTGAGCAAAATATGAAAATATATGTACTCTCTAGTGTGAAACTATATTCTATAATTTGACAATATTCAAGCTGATAAGCATCTTTAACATATAACCAATGATAATGCAAAGAATTAGGCCAAAAATGTGTACAAAATGAATGACCTATTTTGCCATCAATGTTCCATTTAAAAAATCTTTGATATATGATAGCTGAAAAAGTCTACTTCACATGATCTGAATTTTAGTACAAAAAAGGAAACTAAGTGAATTTTATGGGACAAGATAGGTCTCTCTTCAACAAAAACAAATATTATTCAGTTGCTTTATGAAAATTACCATTAAATGAAGCTTGAATTACATTTGATGAATTTCATGTGTAGTATTTAGCTTATTTGCAATCTGTTAAAGTGATACTAACATAATTTTGGACACTTCCATTTCAGAACTTTTATTACAGCAAGAAATGAAAGCCAGCTAATTTTACTAGTAGTATATAAAGTATGAGATATATATCTTTTTCCAAAAATAAAATTTAAACCAAAAACCACAGTAATTTATTTATTTTGCAACATTATCACAGAGTGATTTTACATAATGCAGTCTTCACAGTCTTAGAAAGCTTCAATTTTTCTAACTTCTCACAATAAACTAAAAACTATTTTTTAACTACATCTTCACACATTTATAAAGAGTCTGTAATTTTTGAATAATTCTTTAACACTCCTCACTTAACTTTACCTTGTGAATTAGAAGGAAGTTCATCATCAAAATTCTCAGGAGGAATATATTCAACTTGCTTCAATTCATTAAGAGACACTTCTGTCAAACACATAGGGCATGTCTTGTCAACGGATAGAGATCTTAAAAGGAAAAAAAAAAAAAAGATTAGCATTATAAATGACAATTAAGTAAACTGTAAGATGAATGTGAAATAAGATTATAGGATTACTTTGAAAATTCTGAAAACAAAGCTGGGAAATGACATTGTGGACATAATGTTATGTCTCCAGAAACAATATGGTTTCCCTAAAATTGTAATATAAATTAGTAAATGACAAAAATCAGAACATATACTATACATGCATTAACGACATAAATATACAATTATATTACACTCTTTATGGCTTTCTTAAGCATGCTGCAGTCTGTTACTTTAGAATAGGCACTTCAAGGCCATTTTTTTCATTCTAGCTTACCATATAACCATGATAATGACTACTGTGGATAATGATTAAGCCTTCTAGTCTGCTGAAAATCCCTTAATTATGTCTGAATGGTGATCCTAACACATGTTACATAAAGGAAGGATTGTTAGGACTTTGAAGTACCTATTCTGAAGTATCAGACAATAGCAAATCAAAATGAGATTCATGTCCCATAAATATCAGAATTAATGGTGCACTATATACATACAATTATTTTATACGTAAAATATACCCAGTACAAATTTTAGAAACTTTTATTTTATGATTATGCTTTTATTTATGATTATTTATTAAATTTCATGATTATGCAGATCATCAATCAGAGGTAGGAATGCCTTAAATCTTTTTTTTTTTTTTTTTTTTCCCAATGGCGAGCACTTTCTTATAATGGCATTGGCCACTCCTAAAGCCAGAAGTGGTGGCCACCATTACCTCCTATGAAGGGACCGACAATTTTACATCCATGCCTTCTCTGGGATTCAAACTCGGGCCCTTCGGTATCGCAGTCGGGCTCCCCTAAACACTATACTGTCTGGGCGGCCCTTAAATCTTGATATATTAACATACAGAGAAACATTTTCATACAATAATTAAATAATTTAAAACTCAGTCATGAAAAGTAGGACATTTAAAATGCTTGTAAAGCTGAGATGGAAATCCATTTGCTGAAATATAACAAAAAAAAGCTGTAAAACAGCAATAAAAATTAACATTTTCAATACAAATAAAACCCTGCCTGGCAACAATATGAATAATACTACAAAACCATTACAATGTGTCAACGAAATTTTACAAGCACAAAAACTTTAATACATATCTAAGGCACAAAAATGAGCCACATGCACTTGCACAGCAAGAGGAAGAGATGAAAAAGTGAGTATGAAGTAGACATGTAATCTAAACCCTGTAAATGAGAATATCTATAATTTTTCATGTGATACATTTGAAAAATAACTTCACAAATTCTACACGTAAAGTATTTTCACTTCTATCATAAAAAACCAGCATGTATTTCATTGACTGTTACACATCAAAGGATAATTTCTAATATTGACTGCAAAACACCGCAGGAATCCTTTGGTTCTTTGTTGTAACACAATAATGAAAAAAAATTCTAAATAATACCTAAGCAAACAGGAAATATACAAAATCTTGAAAATTATACTTGTAAAGCCTTTAAAGTTTTTAGTTATTTAAATGATAAGAGTAAGCAGAATGGAATTCAGAATAGTAAAAAAGGTTTTGTGAAGGTAATAGTATAATACGGTAAGACCACATTGTTTTGAAAAGGAATAAAACCTAGGACAAGAAAGATTACATGTATTTTAACAATTTGACCTTCTTAAATACTTGGTAACTCAAAAAGCATGAACAGTCTTCAGTCAGACATTAAAGAATGATTAAATAACACATACAAAACAATAAACATCATAGATTAAAAAAGTGATATGAAAGCTTCAGAACTCATTTTATGAAACTAAATAAATATCTCCCAAGATTACAGAGGATGCATACATGATTATAACTATATTGAAATGCAACAAAATATCAGCTTATTTAAAATTCAGTGCACAAGATTTAAACATGTCTTGCATTCACCAATAAACCATTACATGTATTGGAACAAATGCCTGGAACATCTAGAAGAAAACAAATGTAGAGGAATAAATCCCACAAAGAACATGCTGCAAATAAACGAAAAGGGAAAAATAGGTGATATTATAACACACTTATTAGCTGCATATTTTTAGTAAGACACAGCTGCATATTTTTAGTAAGACACCGAGATGTTAAAATACAGGTTTACAGAAGGTACTTAAAAGTCATTTCACCATCAGTAATATACACTGGTGTGCAAAAATTAAGGATGAGACGATTTTTTCAACATAACTTTGTACAAAAGCTTTCCAAATCAACACATTTAATACCGTAAGATCACCAATACGTAAGGACATATATGTAACAACACTTACTAAAGAGAAATCAAAGGGATAAAAAGAAGCTTTATTGAAAGTAGCAAGAGCGCAATGCGATGAGCCGAAATCCGTGGTGGTGTCAGCAAAAACACGTCTTAATAGGGGATTGATCTCTCCTGACGCTGGCAGGTTACAGCGTCTGCCAGCGGAGAATGAGGGGTCAATGAGTTGTTGAGGCTTGCTTTCCATTTGTCTTGAGGCCAATGAAGCTCCGGAATGTTACGGGTGGTAAGTACGAGCGAAAAGCCTATGCCTAAAAATCCATACAGCGCGATGGGATTGAGATCCGGGATCGTGGGATAGTGAACGTATGGATCGTGCGACCAATCCTAGTTCAATATCTCACTCTCTAAAGCTGTTCGGCAGCTCTGTGCGATACATGGTGCATTGTCGTCCAGAAAAGGAACTGCGACCCATAGAGCCTCTAAAAGACGACATATGGAGAGATCCGTTACATAACGGTCCGTTGACAACCTGCGTCGAAAGTGAAGGTATTGTACGACTACAAGCATATGCTCCCCAAACGATAACACGACCCTCATACTGTCCCTTCAATGATGTTAGAGGGTATGCGGCTTCCGTCGTTCCAGATGAGTATGCGATGAGATCGCTACTCAGACGAATTGCTCACATCGTAAAGAGACTCGTCCCATTCATTGTCTCTCCAATTCCGGTGTTACCGGCACACAGAGAACACCTTCCCGATGGACAGGCGTTAGAGGTACACCGTAAAGGGCGGTGCAAAAAAAACACCCGTGCAGTACTCGGCCCGGTAAACGCGATCTCGTAGTCATCGTGTGTCTAGCGATTTCTCCCGCTGTTACCGCCTGTTTCTTCTGGCCGTAAGGCAATATACGTATTGCGGGGGGTTCTCGTGACGACACTACTAAACCCTCGAATAGCTGTTCCTGTGTTTGAATGTCTCCAAAGTCGTGAAACATGCGTAGCAATTCCGACTCTGCAGCCACATTGTCAACTGCGCCTTCCTCCACTTACCAATGATCGACCAGGTAAAGCTCCAGAGTCGTCTAACAGATTATTTTCAACATTTCTCGCTGAGGCAGCACTCAGGTATTTTAACTGCTATACGGCGTGCAATCTCTTTGCCAGAAATACTGATCTTACACCGACAACATGCTTTATACTCAGACACTTCCCCCTTTATGTCTACCTGCATATCTGCGCATGTGCTACCGTACATCACCTTGCTTAATCTCCTGATTGGTCTTTCTGTCCGCTCTGCCTCTTCGTTCAGCTGATATGCTAATTTTTCGACTTCGTCCTTAATTTTTGCACACCAGTGTACACTGCAAAACAGACATCCATTGATAGCTAACACATGTAAAAATTTTAGGCCTATAGTGGAGATATTTTCAGGACTCTTGTAATGAAATCATCATCAGATTTTAAAGGATTCCATAGATAAAGACCTTGAAGAAACACCAGAAGATAAAATTAAAGGAGGACATGACAGCACCATGCCAGACGAGTTCTATTTGCTTTGTTTATTGAAATGGACAAGCGAATGAAGGTTATCTGACTAATGAGAAGGATCTTTTTACAAAAGGAATTGTACAGGAAACCTGTTCATATTAATTCACACAAAATGAAAACCATGCTACCAGCATGTTCTGCAAAATTTGAAGTGGGGCCAAACTAGCAGTGTTTAGAGAGCTTATACACATGGCCTCTGGTTGATCATATTCTGCTTAGTTACACCTGAGCAACATCACTGGAAAGTATGGAAGCCCTGTTGCACTGAAACAACATGTGCCAAAAAACAGCTACAAAGCCTACCAGTAGCAAGCGGTTTATATTGCTGAACACTGGTGGTTTGAGCTGGGTTTAAATCCCAGATGGCTGCATGAGAGTTTTCATGGCTTTCTCCATGTGTAAGCTTTCTCTGGTGCTTTGCCATAATCTAAAGGGAGGAATGTCTTTATGGAAGAAGAGAAACTAATTTGTATTAACAAACAGCCGTAGAAACATTATGCAGAATTTCCAATAAACTTCCTCCAGAAATGGCCCAACTAACAATTCTCCAACTACGTAAGCCCAGACATTGATAGCAAAACACTGATACGCAGCATAACAGTATATGGATCAGGGAGCTCACACACACATTAAAAATTCTTTTCTGGGGAAGGCAAGCCAATCAGTGAAGTGACTTCAGTACTGGCAAGCCAGCTGTGTAATACATTGTCGCAAAAAACCAATGTATGAACTGCACAAACACAACATGAACGCACGCTATAAACTTTTGCCTTCAGTGATAGGATCTATTTCATATGAAAACAGTTAAGCACTATTTGTGTAATATCTGCCACATGCTGAGTGACAGACAGTAATCTGAAATACGTTGTACACAAGGATTATGTTCAGTTTGGTGAAAAATCATTTCTATTCGTCCAGTGTGCATCATTCCTGCCTGACTACAATCCTGCCAATACAATTCAAGCAATTATAGTCTTATATTTTCATACAATCTCCACTGCAAATGCAGAAACATTTGGGTGCATGTCTACTGGAGAACTAACTACTCATGATACAGTTGTTCCATGGCTGATGCTTTTTTGTTCAGTGCCACAAATTTGCATGCAGGGCTTTTCCTCCCAGAAATATGAGGTTTGGGTGTTTGGGGATTCTGACTGTTTCCAGTGTTTATCAAATTTCAGATTTTTTTTTTTACTTCTCAGAAGTTTTCTAAAATTAATTTTATTGCCTTAAATTATCATCATCATTTTGGTATTATACTGTGAAATAACTCAGATTTCTCTTAATTTGAATAATATTTCTTCTTTTTAAGAGAGACAACGAGATAACAATCAGGAGCATCTTTTACAATGGGCTACCTCCATGACTTTACAATGTAGCTGTTGTATCTTTTCAAACATTAAATTAAACAAAAACACTACAGTGTTAGCATGGGTTGTTTACTAGATAAAAAAGCACAAAAGCATTCTTTTAGGAAAAATAGTTTGCACAGTGTATAGAAGAAGGAAGCAGACCTAAAATTCTTAAGGCGGAATCAGAACTAATTTGCCCCCAGGACTTGACATCAACCAACCCCAGACACGATTAGGAATAAACAGCAGCTTTTGACTGACTGTGATTGCCAGCTTGACAAGCCAATCATTAATGAATTAATTCTTATAACTTAATGATAAAAAAGCCACTTTTGACAAATCTGTCATTTCATCAAACACAGATTACTTTCAATCAATATAAACTGACATAATAAATACACATATTCAGATACTGAATTCCAGAGAGTTGTTAAAGATTAATTTTGTGCTGTTCTGATATGTGACATTAATGTTATTTTTTGCCTTTGCAGTGGGAAAAACACTGGTGAAAATTACCTCCAGGACTCCCATCTCTATCAAATACAGAACCACTGTTTGAATTTTCTTTATAAAAAATGATTATTCACTTGCTAGCAGGTAAAGGATATATATAACATCTACCAAACGTTCTTATACATCTGTAGCAACTGTGTAAATAAAGATTTCGTTTTGTGGTCAAGAGTTAACTTTTTGATTGATATGAAAAAAGACAGCTGATAAATAAGGATTATGATAACCCCAGACTTTAGTTCCAACAAAGCATTCATTTTGAAATGTGCAGTTTGAAATTTAGTCATTAATTGATAATGTGTTTATCTTCAACACATACATTTCTGCTTTTACTGAAAGTTATTATTTTGACCAAGTGATTCATTATAACATAATGAATACATAATTTTACACAATCCCTGAAGCTTCTGTTAAAAACATATCATGGTCCAAAAAACATTTGTAATAAAAAAATAGCACACAAAGTAATCAATAAAACAAAAAATTTATAAGAATGTAGCTTTACCGTTATAATGCAGTAAGGCACATTATATCTACAATGTTCACAGTATAAGCTTGTTTGCAGCAAATTTTCTCCACAGTATGGACAGGGCGTTTTAGGTTCTTCAACATCTTGAGCTTTTAGAGATTTTCTAAAAAAAGTAAATTGGGAGGGGAAAAAGATTTATTTGAAACACTTGCAGAATAATTATCTGCAGTCAGTGTTACAGAGTATTATCAAACAACAGTATATTAAACCTAGAATAGCAACATTCTGTAAGACAAAGATAATGGTAATTAAAACAGTATGGTAAAGGAGCCCCTCTCTGTAATTTTGTGTTCCATATGAAGTTTGTTGAACAGTTGCTGATTGATAAAATTATGTTTTTCATGTCTCAAAGGGATGACTTACAAGAGATTTAAGATTAATGTGCACAAACATATGATAAGACAAAATCAGATCTATTTTCCTTTTCTAAAATAGACTAGATTATTAATTTTGTAGTAAATATCTCGGCCCATGGAGGAATACTTTCTTATCTGACTTTCTAACAGATACTGGCTAAAATTTACATTACACAGGAGGAAAAACATGAAACCCTTTTGCAATCAGCTCTCTGAATAGAACATGGAGCTAATTACCAGTGTTCTGCAGCTTAGACTTTTGGATTAAGAAGGAAAAAAAAAAAAAAAAAAAAACTCTTCTGAAATGATAAGCTATTTTCAACCCCATAGATTGATTTTAAGCATTAAATCTATCTCAGATGTTATTTAACTCCCTCACAGAAGATAACAGTTCTGTTGTTTCATGTTCTGATGCTCTCCACACCAATTCAGTACAGTCCTTTTATAGCAGGAGTTTAATGAAACAAAACTTTCACACACACACACGTTTCCAGACATTTAAGGTATTCTCATAAAGTCTAATGTATGCTGTTTGCCATGATATATTTAAATTCCAGTTTGCAGCAGCAAATTATGACCTCAGATGCTTATCAGTTAAGTTCCTGTTGCAACAGGTAGTTATGGAAGAAATGGAATTGGAAGGAAATTATTTTTTTTATGACCTCGTCCTGATTTTCTAGAAACGATTTCCAGCCTTTAAACTGTTTCCAATGGGCAGAGATTGAACACCAATAATAAAACAGTACATAAGAGCATAATTGTATTTAGATTAAACATCACAATGGATGTTCTCTTACCAATTATCCTTCTAATCTAAAATTCATGCTTTTTGTTTCTCTCTCTTTTATTTCCTTTGCTTGCTCTTTTATACTGACTTTATTTGTCAGTGAAATTTTAATGGCCTCACCTTCTACAAGCACATTTTTTTTTAAATTTAAAAATAAGGGTTTGGGAAAATTGGAGTTGTATTAATAAATTTTTTAAGTATGAGATATTGTTTATTTGATTTTAACATAACAGTTGTTATTGATTTTAACATAATAGTTGTCTTTTAAATTTAAAAATAAGGGTTTGGGAAAATTGGAGTTGTATTAATAAATTTTTTAAGTATGAGATATTGTTTATTTGATTTTAACATAATAGTTACAATTAAATTTAGAAAGAGGTTTTTGTATGCTTTTCATAACATATCAGTTACATGTTATATTTAGATTATTTAAACAGAAGTTCTCTTGCCCAGCTAAATCCTCTCCCTTCTCACAGAAAATGAGGTTGATTTCTTTTATAACTTTGAAAAAGCAAAAGTTCCAATGATGTTATCATAACTTGTTTGGACCATACTGGATCTCTGAACATTTTCAATGGGTCCTTTTCATACTTTTGTAAGTGCAATTTTGGCAGAGTTATCAACAATTTTGTCATCAGTTTACTCAGACACTTAAACTAAACTCAGTGGCGCAACAGCCCTAGAGGGCCAAGGCTTGCAGTGGCCAAAATTCTGCTATCTTGACCATGGGTTCCAGGGTGCATGAGCATATATGCCCTGAAAAAGTCGTCAGCTTGTCGCAGGACCCCAGGTGTTTAGTCCCCAAGCAAGCTTAGTACTCATTTTATCAACCCACTCAAGGAATGAAAGGCTGAGTCGACCTTGCACAGCCCGAGGATCGAACCCTGGACCTGTGGTGCTGCTATGCGATGTGCTAGTCACTGCACCACCGGGCTTCTACTCAGACACTTGTTTTTCAGAATTCCTGATGACATACTGCATGTATCTTAGTAGATATTTAAATATATTTCAGCAGGAATTATTGCTTCAACTAATGGTGTCCTTGATTGATAATGAACACCACTGCAGAATTAGGAAGTCAGCAGAGGATACAATAAAAAAAGGTAAGGAAGTTTGCAGGAAATACAGGACTTGGAAAATGCAAGACATTTAACCCCCTAAGGACTCACCCATCTTCGCTGCTTGAATTTCACTCTCCAAGCTGCTATGTGAAGTGATCTCACACTCTAGTGTCTATTACTGACATTTTGTCTTCTCTGCTGAATTTTTTCCCCTACCCAATCAAATACTCTTCTCTGACTTAACTATTTCCACACTAAACCTTCACTCTTCTGTTGCTATACTTTCTGAGCACAAAAAATGAATAACACGTTGTTGTTCTTCCACGGTGAAAGCTGGCAGTAAAACAATCATATTGTATAAAGCTGATATATATTCACCACATGCTCTGTCATCTCACCCCTTCACTTCTATCCTTCAACAGCTCCTTACACATGATTTCTTCGATGGTTATGCAGGCAGAATTCAGGATCTTTATTAACACATCAGAAGTGTCTGCCTTAGGGTTTTTCTCTGCATCTAAAGTGTTTAGCATTCTGAATTACTACATTTGAAATGCCAGCCATAATTGTTATCAACTTTTTCACTATATTACACACAGGATCAGACTATGTTCTGGGGCTCGCCCCATGTGACCTGCTCACCTAACTCATCTCAACCCTTATACAGCAAATTAATAAGGTGCCAGGTTGTTTAGTACAGTAAGACTTTCATAGTTTATACTTTGGCAGAATTTTTTAGAAAAAAAAACCCCCGTACTTAATGATTGATTACTGTGTGAATCTAATTCCTCCTCCTTATACATGAAAAATGCAGTTTAATTTATTTCAATCAGCCAACAAAAACTGGAATTTAACCCTTCTCTTACAGCACTTCAATTCCCCCCTTTGCACTTTTTTCTTTACTTTAGTAATGTTCCATACTTTTACAAGTTTCTAAATTAAAATATGTATCTAAACATTATACTTTAAAACAAAAGAAAAATAAATAATAAACTTTCTTATATATATTATTTTGACACACAATACCATTTTCAGTTTAATCCCGAACTGCATTAATAAAGGGAAGAGACCTATTTGATTATTACCTTACTATAGTTTCGATTTTTTTCTTGTACTTAGCCTCTATTTTTGATCTGTGTTCGGGTCTCATAAGAATAACAGCAGTTTTGTATGCGGATTTGTGAAGACCAGCCTTTTGACACTCAAAAACTGCAGTTGTTAAAATCTGCACATCATCTACAAAAGATATGCACAAAAGCTTTAAAACATTATTTATATGCACACCAACATTTGCAATTAAGTTACAGTTTGAAAAGAGCATCTAATAAAGCAGTTTTCCTACAAATGACCTATGGCAGAGACAAATACACATCCCTCCACAACAGGAATTGCAGTACACTATTTTCAAGTGAATCTCAACAAATGCTGGATAAATAGGAAGAAAAACAATACAGATGAAATTTAATTTTTGCTTTTATTTTGCTTGAACATTTTTTTTTTTAAATGTTAGAAACTTCCCCACAGATTTTAACACAGAATATAACCTCAGAAGAGGATCTGCACTCTTTGTATCAAAAATTCAATAACTTCATCATTTAACTACTATCATATTGCATCAAGAAGACATTTTTGCAGGAAAACAGAAAAACCACTGTACCTTATACACACTTTTAATACATTAAATAAAGTATGCATCATTTAATACTATTAATTTTTCAGTTATTTCATCTGAATATCCTTAATTTAGAGAGTTTATTTCTGTGATGCAATTGTACAGAAACTATCAGAACTATTTATAACATCTACAGATTAAAATCTTAAATAATGGCTGTATTACTAGCATACAGTCATACTTAAAAATACTGGTATGAAAAAAGTTCTCAAAAGATTTAAAACCTGGGAAAGAATTCTCCGGTTTTAGATCTCTTGAGAACTGTTTTTGGAACTTACCTGAAAGGACCATCGATCCAAATGATTTGCTTTTCTGAAACTGAAAAGTCTACCTATTTAAAAAAGGATCACAAAATCCTCTCGGGATACATGCTAAACATTAGACATTGTGATAATTGTATCAAGCAATTGAAAGTATAATATCAACTCATAACACTGTGGAATTTAAAAACAATCAATAATGTTCTGATATTTACACGGTCAGCCAGACAATATTGCAGAAAATTTAAATTCAGGACGAGAAAAAATATATCAACTGTATGATGTGCTTATAAAAGCAATATCTTAAATATTTTTGTCAGAAAATCATGCTTTTGATTTCACTTGGAAAAAAAATACAGCAAGGGTAATCCCAATGTACCTGAAATTCTTTCATTTATAAAAAAATCAACTAAATTTTTAGTAGTAGTATATTTTGCTTTGAGCAAAGAAAAGAGATCTTTTTAATGACACATTTTCAAAATGAAATCAAAAATTAAACATTTCATATCACTTCAAGTTCTTAATGTAGGAATGATTTCTTTAACATATAATTTCAATTCTGCCTCTCCAAGTTTGTTTAAATTTAACAAATTAAGTACAGAAGAAATAACGAAAATTATAAACACTGAAACACACATGCTTAAAATGCAGGAATTATCACTCTGACACACTCTGTTTCAAGAGCAAAGGTCAAAATATTGCTTTTCAATTTGCTCAAGAAATATTTGAAAATAAGTACATTATTCAAGACAATAATATGAAAAATGAAGCAAACGGCATGAAAGCAATTACTTGAAAATGCACTGCTAATGAAAATGAGAAATAAGTTCTTCTAAAATGAGAAATTATTAATTTGATGAAGAATTTAAAAATAAAATTCTTGAGATTTTGGTTATTATGCATCTCAGACAGCAGTGCCAGGTCTCATCAAATTTGACTCCTCACTTATACATAATTTATTAAAATTTCTTTGGTTTACAAATGATAAATGATGAATCATATAAAATAATGGCCACGATAATTTTGACTTTTGGCGTTACACCAAAAACATCAATTTCAGTTGCTACTTCAAAATATTATATTGAAAAATACATTAATAAAAGAACTGAAAGGTGTGACACATTAACTCCTTTTTTAAATTGATGTTTTTTAGAGCATATATAATCAGAAATGAATACTAGTTTTCATCTGATACAATAGCTACTTTGAAAAATGTAAGCATTAATGTATAAAATTTAATTAAAATGAAAAAAAAAATACTACTTATAGCTTGAGAATGGCATGTTAAAAATTGATACTCTTGTACAAACAAATTAGTTCTTATATGGAATCTAGAAAACTGGATGTAAATGCTACATTTTCAGACAAATAGTAAATTTCACATAAAATACCCAAATATGGCTCAATTTTGTGCATCATTTATTATCAGCATTCATTTATCATAAAAATGTTACTGCAACAAATTTGGCTAAATACCTCAAATGGAATACACAGCTATCATGAGATGGATTTAAGAACTAGCTATGAAAAGTTAACTGCAAAATATACATCAGTTGACAGAAAATATTTTCAAAGTTATGACAAATTAATCTTTTGCATGCCATTACAACTGCTTCAGTAACATTGTAAGATATGTTGATAATTCCATTGCAGTGGTGACAATGTAATATAAGCTGTTCAGTCCATTATCATTGCCGCGATGCCAAAGTATGGTGGTATTTAGAAATAACTTTGTATTTTTATACATATAAGGAAGATATTTTGGCATATGCTTATTGTAATCAATTTAAGGACTGTGGGTTATGTTTCTTCTTCTGGAACCTTTGTCAGAATATTACTTAGCCTACAATGGAAGAAAATAACATATATGAAAGAAAAAGGATTTTCGAGTCAAGATGGCAAGATGAACTCAAATTTACGTTATGCTGAGATAATTTGGCTGAGAATAATATAAATGAAAATGGGTATAATGAGAATGATGATAGTGACAACAGGGATATAATTACACAAAAGATAAAAAGTATGGCCTATTGAGTCTGACACTGATGATAATGCAAGCACCTGAATGGAGAAGTCAGTATTACAGAGAATGGTATATACCTCATGAAGTAAATTTTTTGATAAGATAAAAAATGGTTTCCACATAATAAAAATAAATCAGAGTTGCTGAACATCATACTAAAAATTGCTCAGAGTGTAAAAAGTTAAAAAGCGATTTTTCTGAATATAAATTTCTGCTGCCAGTAATAATGCAATGGCTTATTTCAGATAATTAATAATTCGAATGAAATTAAAAACTGATTTCGTAATACCAAAAAAAAAAAAAAAAAAAAAAGATAGCACCTTAACAAATCTTAACTTTGCACAGATTAAAGTTAATGAGAGTGACTAGAATTTCAAAATATCTGCTTATACAATACAATGATTTAAGAAAATGACTTATTTTTGACTGATTTGAAAATAAATTATCAATGGAGGAGAAAGTTGTCAAAGTACCACAAATCTCTTGAATGACTCAGACTGCAGAAATTCAACACTATTATTCATCATTAAGGATTCTAAACACTGTAGCAGAAGGGACAACTCAGAAGACTTCCAAACCAGGGACACAGAAAATTAAGAACTCTCTTGGGTACATTAGCAACAACTTTTTATAACTGGCTATTAAACAAGTTTCTAGCATAAACAATAAGTAATTAAAAGAAAGTAATAAAATTAGTCAATGGCTATATAATTAAAAAATAAAGAAATTTTAGAGTTCAGCAATTTACTAAAACAAAGTTCACTAACTTATTAATTTTTTTTAAATCATGTTTCTTAAACAAGAAGAGTTGTCAATATCATTGCAAACTTTCTGCAAATCAAATTCAACAAACTGAAGGACATAGCATCCGCAGATTTCACATGGAATTATTCTCATCTGAGATCAAAGCACTGCAGTCTTCAAAACTTATTTTCCCAGCACTGATTTTAGGTCCTTTAATTGACATAAACCAAATTCTATAAATTAAGGAGAAAAATTCAAATATTCATTGGAAAAAAAGCCTTCAATCCTGTTCTCCTGAAATTTCAGGTTTACTCAAATGTAGGTGCTAGGAGTGCATTTTACATTATAGAGACATTATGATTTTTTTTTTTTTGAAACGGGTAAGATGAAAAATATGCAATGCCTTTGCCGGAAATCGAACCGCGGACCTCTGAAGTACGTGCCCAGCGTGCTGACCGTGACACTACATAGGCGGAAGAAATACCTTATAAGACAAAGAATGAACGCGAATTCAGTTCCAACATCAAACAGGCTTATAGTAAAAGATGGACATAAATTATGCATACTACATTTTAAAAAAAGGAAAAACATAAAAAAACCAAGCATTTTGTACAAAAAGAAGAGTTCTTCATTTCTCAAGTGATATGTAACATTATACAACTGTCAGATACTTAATTATACTAGATATCATTCTAACATAGGCCTCAATTAAAAGTTTCTTGGGGTCATTAGTTGACAGTGCAGGTTTTTTCTTCACATGCTTTGAAGCAGAGTAGATTCCTGAATAGTATCAGTAATACTGGCATATGACCATAAATGAACATTGGCATATGAACATTCACAATGAATTACATTTATTTTCCCCAAACACATCACTATATGTCAATGCTTGATTAAAGCTTGACTCATAAAGTTACTTGAAATATTGATGATTCCATCTATTCTGCTATTCAGCTACATTTAGATCATGAAACATTAAATGTTTTAATTGGAATTTTTATGATAGAGTTGAAACCAACATAAGTTTTAGTCCATCTGCATCACCGACTTCATAGCATTAACATGTGTTTTACTTGCATTGGAAAAGCTAGAGTTGGGATGAATTCTTTAAACCTGCATCTGAGCTCTTAAACATTTTTTAATGCTTGAACTAAGAATGATACTATGAAAAGAAAACGGGGAAAAAAGTGCATTTAACATTAAAGTTCTAAATAAAGAAGAATTTGAAATCTGCATTTGATGATCAAACACGCAATTTTTAAAATTTCACCTATATTTATTTTAAAAAATGAATATTAATAAAAACAATTGCACTACAGAAGACTCCCGATTATCCGCGCCTGCTGCACAAAGTGGTTTTTTTTTTTTTTTTTTTTTTTTTTTTAAGCGTAAAGCAAGGAAAATAAAAATGTTCACAAAACTGATAGAAACGTTAAATTTGCTAACATCGTGCTTATTTATGGCAACAATATCCTACGCGGCCTTCTCGGAACCTTACCCTCTGATGAGTAAATGATTTCTTACTCACCCTTGCAGTGCCCGTTGCACCGCCCTCTCTCGTCTTAATCTTACTGACAAGTCCACTTCCTCCTACTTGCCAATGTTAATTTAAACCTGATAGTGTTTGCGAACCGGTCGGAGTTAATTTCTTATCTTTTATTGTGTTCAGTGCTTGTGCTTTTTGGTTTTGTGTTTTTCGTTACCAATTTAAAATGTCAGTAAAACGAAAGAAGGTTGTGTTGACAATTGCGCGAAAACTAGAATTAATTTCCAATGTAGCAAACGGCACTACAAGGCAGCAGATGGAATTGTATTGCGGAATCGCGGAAACAAGAGTGTGTGACATTTTAAAGCAAAAAGACAAACTGCTGAACTTTGCATCAATGTCGGACAGTGCTTCCGCAATAAAAACGTGAAAAACTATGAAGGGTTCTACCTTTGATGAGCTAGACATGGCATTGACAGAGTGGTTAGCTTAAGTTCGAAAAGAGGGTACTCCTGTAAATGGTCCTATCATTGCTACAAAGGCAAAAACCTTTTTTGGGTTATTAGGCCTGAAAGGAAATTTTGCTGCGTCTTCTGGCTGGTTGACTCATTTTAAGCAGTGACGTGGAATTCGAGAAATAGGACTTCATGGGGAGAATATATTAAGCGTAATAAGCTAAAATATTAAGCGTTAGTTAAATATTTCCTGCTGTTTATTTTATGTTTTATTGTACATAAAACGATTTTTCAAAGTTTGAATGACTGTTTTCTTATTTGCTATAGCCGTTTTTAGCTTTTTTCAGATTATCCGCGCCAGCCGCGCCACCCAAATCCGCGGATATTCGGGAGTGTACTGTATTTAACCCTTGAATCTTCAGGTTCATTTTTTGAACATTATTTGACAAACAAGTACCTACTTAAACATCATGCAAAAAATATACATTCAGCAAAAGTGCTTGGTATATAATCATGCAAAGTAATTTTATAAAAAGGTGGTACTTCGAAAGTGCATAAAATGTGACCATGGGAAAGTTGACACAGATGGAAAAAAGAAATTTATCTGACTAACAATTAAAATTTCAACAGCAATAGCTGAATACTTCAGCTAATAGGTAACTTGAGTTATGTTCATGATGCAGCATTTATGTATCATAATTTGATCACTACAAGCATCAGGAATTTCAGCAATACACTGTCTGTCTTCAAAATTACCAAGACGATTCAAGAGTTAATTTCAAGAAAGCACAATTCATTTCCACCAGATTTTACTAAATGCCATACTGGAGCAGAATAGCACACAGGGCAGTATTATTAATTCAGATATTCCTGAGACTGTAACAATTGCATTCTTATATAAAAAATACTTCTACTGAACACTGTTGTGTAACTTGTTAGGCAATTTAATTTGTTTTATAATTGATTAGTTTTGTTTAAAGTGGTTATATATTTTTCCTTTGAGCTGTAACTGATTTACTCAAATTTGGTAATGATTAATCTTTATTAAATTTTAAGAATAAACTTATATTTAATTTCTGTTTGAAAACTTCATTTAAATTTAAGTTGATTTTATTCTTTTGAATTGATTGTTGTTACTTTGGTATGACCCTTAAAAGGTTTATTAATTTTAAATTTTGATTTTGTGTTACAGTGAATTGTGTTTAAACTTAACTGTTTGCTAATTTAATTTGTGTTATAATTTTCCCTTTTCCTTCTTATAAAAATATTGAACGTTTATTTTCTGGCTCAGGTGGTATTTTTCGAAATTTGTGACTTGGTAAAATTTTTATGTAATACAGAGAATTTTTATGTAATACTTGTACAACAGTATTTTTTTTTTCATTTAAGCTGTGCCTGAATTCCAGAAATTATTGTGTTAATGTCTGTCATCCATTTAAAGCGGAGTTTCGTGCCAAGGTGGCTTTGTCTGGCTAAAAGATTTGAAAAACATACTGTCTAGTAGAAATGGGACCTTGTTGAGAGGCTAGCAATTTGCATGCTTTTATTCTGGAACGTGTCCTTGGATTGGGAGAGGGGGAGAAAATTGGATTTAGAAAATGGGGAGTAGTGAAAAGGTTGTGGACAGAAATGTGGTGTTTTCGAAAAAAGTGTGGAAAGTCAGAAGCCTATGTGACTGGAGGTGATGGATGAGTTCCTGACCTTGTCTGAAATCCTTGGGCGTGAAGGAAGAAGAAGAAGCAATTATGTCAACTTCTGGTAGAACCCTTGTCAACATTTTGCTAAGAGGCAACACTAATGTTGTTGGAGTTTGGCGAACCTCATGGGTTTGCTGGTTGAGAAAGAGGGAAGTTCCTTGCTGAGAAAGATAAAATTGTCACCAAGCAGAAGAGCATCAGCTGACATTGGAATCTGAGAAGTGAGAAGAGAAGATGCTGTCCTTGGCACAGTGAGGAAGGCAGAAAAAGAAGATGGAAGCGGCCATCATAAAATAACTGGTGAGCACAAACATGCCATCCAAAGATCCACTAAAAGGAAGGAAAAACCTCATCTAATTCTGAATTAACTACCTTCCTTTTATTTCTACAGATTTGGTCAATGGACTTATGCATGGATGAATTGAATGAGGCTTCAGGAAAAAAGATCTGCACTTCCAAACTAGTAAAACTTACATTAGCACCTATTGGGTAAAATCAAGATCTTAAATATTGGTTGTAAAATAGTGGATAGTTAAATGAATACTGAAATTTCTTAATCGTCACCTGGTATAAATGATTTTAAAACAAAAATTTATACCTGAATTCGAATCATTCGAGGTTCAGTCTTGGTGTGTAAAGGTGCAGTTGCTCCTCGCTCACTATTTTTTGACTTCCTTGATTTGTTTGCGTTTTAGTCTATGTGTTATATATTTGACCAGATAGCTTGGCTCAGTAAAAGTAAGCGGCCAGTGTAATCTGATTCAAAATCCGGTTACGACCTCGTGTATGCTAGTAACGACCACATGTTTCTGAGACTCCTTCACCAATGCTTTATTTTTCTTCTTTTTCCCCTTTCTAGTAATTTCGTTCTCCTGATGAGGAGGGACCTTTAGCTGCCCTTGAAATCAATTGAGTGTTTTAGCATATGTACGCTAAATACAAGGTTGTTATTGGGATTTTAATTATTTCTTTCTATTTAAAATGTAACTTGCTAACTTTTAAAATGATATGAATACCATTTTTAATTCTTGAACTTCCAGAAATCTAAAATACGACTTGTCATAACATTTAGCTGCACCTACTATGTATTAGAATTATTTCAAGTCCCTTTTCTTCTAACCGGAGATAAAATTAACTATCAGCATAATTTTGCAGATTTTTTATATACTTCAATAAATGAGAGTTTGATGAGCTGTAAACAACATGAAACAAGACACTTCATACCGATGTGAATGCAGCAGAAAAATGGACATTTTGTTGATTGAAAGCAATTCTCATTTTTCTTTGGTCAGGGACAAAAGTATCATGGGAAAGAGCTTATTTACCTTTAATATTTTATATTATTTTCCTTGCTTTCTTTAAATGCAGATATCTAATACAAGAACTTAATAATATACAAAACAGACACATTTTGCTTTAAAAAAGCAATAAAATAAAATTGCAGCCAATTACTTAAAAAGAAAGAACAATTTAATTTTTTTCCTTACGACGAGGGAATCTGTTTATATTATCACACACTCTTATGAGCATCCTGGCACTTTTCATATGGTCACCTCTAAGCATGTGCAATTTTCCAAGGCTATAGCTATGAAGTAACATCAAGCTATTTGACATTTCTGCCGGAATTTTCAAACCTTCTTCCTTCAGTTTTTGATACATGCCCAATAAAAGCAGACGTGCATTTTTGTATGTACCTGTAAGGCAATATTTCCATATTAATAAAAAAGTAAATGTATTCTAAATATATTTTAGAATTATAATTCTTTAATATTTTACATTACAATGGTTGAGACACAGAATTGTCAGGACTTTGACGATTTCTGAATTTTAGATCATCAGTTTAAATCTAGTTAGAAGACGCGTACACATTGGGGCTTCATTTATTTTTTAGGTCAGAAAGAAAAATGCTAAACCCCTGCCGGACTGAAACCAGAGAAGGCACAACTGATAAATAAAAATTTTTAGAATTTAGAGGAGCACCAAGCAGCAAAAACTGGAATGGTAGAATTTTTAGAATTTAGGAGAGGCACTAGGCAGCAGAATTTAGGACCCACAATGATTGTACCAGGCAGCAAAATGTGTAACGCAGGCTCTGTCACCCCCACTCACGACAATTCAAAGACCAACAGAGTGATCTTAGCCAACATCAATAAATGCATTGTTATTTTTAGTGGTGGAATTCCCTAGCCAGCAAGTGTTTGAAAGTTATATGCACAAATCTCAGTTAATCCAGAGAACAATCACATTTATGGTCACCTGCTTTCTTTTTGTTATTATATTTTCTATTCCTACACATCTTAAGCGGGGAATTTTTCCTTATTATTTCATTTTACTTATTTTTCTGGCTGGTAGTTTGGAGTTCCAAATATTAGATAACTCCAGATACTGGACAGACTTTGTACTGTATTATGTTTTACATCTTCTATGAAAGGCAGACAGACTTTTTAAATACGCCACACCACTATCTCATATGAAAATACTTGTACATAAAATTCAGCACTAAAGTAAAAAGTATCAAATACAATATAAAAATAAAAAATGTAAACAAACAAACAAAACAAAAAAATGTGATTATTGAAAGCTGAAAGCCATAATCAGTAAATGTAAATGTGAAAGCTTTAAAATCAGACTTCAAGAATTCCATTTTACACATACTAAAATTTAGGTTTTAATTTCTCTCTCTCTAGTTTCTTGAGTCAGACCCACTTTCTTTTCTAAAACAAGTACTACTTACTAGCAACTTGAAGGATTAGCGATGGATAATCTCCTCAGCAACTACTGACATTTACATGCATATTTTTAGGTCAAATTATTTGAAAAATGGTCTTTTTGGCTCTGGATTTATTATGTTGATGACAACTTCACGCGTTTTAGCAATAATAAAGAAAATTTTACCATGTTGTTATATACTGTAAATTTAATTGATACAGCCATCCAGTTTGTTTCAGAAACTGAATCTAATAATTCCCTTCTTTGATATTCTAATTATCCACAAAAAATTTGATTTCAGGACTACTGTTTATCATAAACTTTGTTTTTGTTTGTTTACATTTTCATGCTAAATCGTGTAACCCTACTAAAAAAACGACTTCTTTTTACCCATTTCGTATATCATGCTTTCAAAGTACCTTCTTCAGAATGTGTTTTCTCATGAATTAAGTTATTTGACATCAGTTGCCATGGACAAAGGAATTTCTCTCAAAATGAATAAAAATAATAAGTAAAGAAACATAACAATAGAAAAGATACATAATTACATAAAAATAGAAAAGCCTTTAAAAATTCTTTATCTTGCCATCAAAAAAGATATTCTGCTATTAGACATAACCATAATAACCTCATTATAATTCCATTTCATCCTTGTATCAGATAAAATTTACTCATATCCTCCAGAAATTAAGCTCTAAGCTCATTTTCTCACTTATAAGCAGCTTTAGGAAGGTTTCACAAGTATTTTATTAAATTTTTCTCTAATTTGTGAGCCTTTGGTTCTTTTATTTTCCTGTTTATTTATCCAAAATTATAAAAAGGCATTAAACTAGTCTTTCTCTTGAGTATTTGGGTCTCCCTAGGCTTTGTTTAAGTGCAGTCAAACCCATAATTGTAAAATTTAAGCAGATGTCAGGAAATGCTGTTTACAGCAAATTTATTTTTGGGAATCAAACTGTTTAATATCAAGACAATGGAATCAAGTCTCGTTGTTTAGTTTTTCATGAAGAGAAGTCAGTAGGTAACATTATTACTAGATTATTTTTCAATTTATATAAAAGAAATTGAACATAATGCCAATTGGCCAATGTTAGATATCAATGCAAACACGAATGCACACACTTTTTTAATGTACAACATACTTCAGATTTAATGCTGATCACCTTAAGGGAAACTTTTAACAGAATTTAATCCTAAACCTTAGAACATTTTTGAAAAAATCACCACTGAGCCTTAGAACTCCCAAGATCAAGTAAATAAAATAAGAAATAAATACTGTGTGGAAACACCTGGCAAAATTATGCCACATCAGTAAATTTACTAATTTTATATCATTTCCATGATATTTTGTGATGTTTAAAATAAAATAAAAAAATAATGAATTTTTAATTTTAAAATGCTTTTTTGTTTGTGGACAATTATTTGTATTATCCATTTTAATAAAAGCATTTCATTAAATTTTTGTGTTTTGTTCTTATAAGATAAACTGAAATCCCTTTGTTATAATTTTCATAGTACAGTGCTGTCTATCAGTGTTATTTATTGTTCAAGCATTACAGATTCAGTTTCAGATTTTAATTCTTGGGGAATTTATAGCATATCTAGACAGTATTGTTTAACATGCCTCAGCCAAATTAAAACACTATTAAAATTTCACATCAAGGACCCCAAATGCTATATTGGAAAAGGAGAAGTAAATCTTTGATGGCTAATCATAACTGGATGCTCAATCACAATTTAAACCTAAATGCATAAATTATCCATACAGCTTTTGCATTTTATGAGCTGGATTTCTTTCATGCATGTAACATTCATAAAACTGAGCTTCTTCAGTCAATGACATTACTTCCAATCCAGTTCTGAAAGCTTTCAGAATTTGAAAACCTTAGTGTTTTGCATTTCATTACTATTTTCCTCAAGAGATGACACTACTTTGTTTTCACTTTGCTCAATCCATTACTTTTGACATAAAATGGTTTTTACTCCTAGCATTTTTCCAAAAACATCTTTTGCTCCTGAGAGCATGGATTTGTGCCCGATCAATCTCGAATTGATAATTTTATTCAAATTTCACATATTTTACATTTTTGTGTCTCACTTTGAAATTTTCTCTTAAGGATCACTTAAATTTTCAGGAAAATCAGCTTCATTAAGTACCCAATTATTATGGAACAAATTTAAATGAAATTAAGTAAAAATGTCATGAAAATGAAATATAAGGTAATGCATGTACTTACGACATGAAAGGAAGGGCATGGCAAAGAAATTTTCCATGTCCAGATTAATCATGCACCATATGATAAATGATGTGGATAAAAAGTAAAATACTCCCATATGTTGATTATAAGGCAACTCAAACTTGCGGGAGCAGAAGAGAGCAGGAGAAATGACAACATAAAAATCTTTACTAAACTGAATAATAATATTTAATTGTGCATTAATAAAATAAGCTGTTAAAGTATGTAGAAAGCATTTGGCATTTGAGATGAATGCATTTAAATCGAACTTTTCACCTGCATTTTAATTTATTTAATCCATTCGTGGGCCATGGGGAGGTTACTTCCCACCTACATGATCCTGGGAAATACACCTGTGGGAAGCGCAAAACTCACTATAATATATTGGCTTTGGTATTATAATGTTGGGAACTCTAATTCCCACTTCAGTATAGTGCTGCCACCTGTGTTCAATCGATTGAAAACAGAATTAGCACATTTGTTTTGAAAGTTCGAACGCGTTGTGTGAGATCTGTTCCACTGAGACACCTGTTTTGATTTGACATTTGCATTGCTATACGATTCTGCTACAAATGTAAGTAAACACTGTTTTTATTATAATAACGTTCTCTTATTTTGTATATTTCTGCAGTAACTATATAATATTGAACAATAAATAATGGATGAAAAGTGAAAATGCTATTGCATCATGTATGAAAGCCACGTGCAATAGGTATGTTGGAAAAATTAGAATATGTTTGAAAATACATTTGAAAATATGATTCAATTCTACTGAGAAAGAAAAGGATTATTTTGGCATGATTTTTACCGAGGAAATTTTACAGAATATTGTTGACGAAACTCATATGCAAAGCAGCCTGAGAAAAGGAAGTGATTGGGTCATACCACAAAAGACATTATCCTGAACTGGAAAGAAATCACATCAGAAGAATTGAAAGCATGGGTAGGTATGCATATACTCATGGGTATACATCAGTTGCCTGAACTGAAAAAATACTGGAGCACAGACCCTATTCTCAATGTTCAATCAGTAGCAAGAATAATAATTGCAAAGAGGTTCAAAAAATAACTGAGACTTTACATGTAAACGATAACAGCACAAATCCATGTGGGCAATTTGGGCATGATAAACTCCATAAAAGTCAGACCAATCCTCTCACAGCTCAATGATTCCATACCTAAAGTCTACGAACCTATCGTCAACATTATGAATAGATGAATGTATGATAGCTTTCAAAGGGATTACTTCATTGAAGCAGTATATGCCAATGAAGACTATAAAAAGAAGTTACAAGGTGTGGTGTTTAGCAGACTCTAAGACTGGATATATTCAAAAATTTGAAATTTATTGTGGAAAAGAAACTTCTGATAATAAGGATAAAATATTGAGCTTAGGGAAAACACTAATAACTAAACTAATGGAAGATGGAAAACAGACAGGTCATCTTATAGCCTATGCTAACTATTTGACATCTTTTAGGCTTGCAAAAAGTCTACTTATAAGTGGTCTGTTTTCGGTGAGGACTGTGAGGCCGCAAAGGAAGAATCTTCCACCGATACTGAAGGCTAATAACAAACTACAAAGGGAGAAATCAATGTTCCTAGCTAAGGAAGGTGTTGCTGCAATAAAGTGGATGGACAAAACGCCTGTTACATTGTTGACTACTGCAAACAATTCAGCGATTATTACATCTGTAAATCGTACAAAAAAGGATGGTACTAAAACTGAAATACCTTGCCCGTAAAGCTGTTGCCGTATATAACGATATCATGGGAAGGGGTTGATTGCTTCGATCAAAGAAAAGAAAGATACCAAATAGGAAGAAGATCTGTAGAATGGCGGTGTCGTATTTTTTATTTTCTTACTGATCTTGGCATCATAAATAGTTTTATACTGTGGCAAGTAAACAAGAGAAAAGTTTAGACCAGCTAACATTTTGTATAGCATTAGCTCGTCAACTAACAGACGGATATTCCTCGAAAAAGGAGAGGCCGTCCTGCTAGCTTTCAAGCAAAACGGTGTGCAGTTCCTGATGATATACGCTTAGCCAATGTGGGAAATCATATGCCAAAGATGGCTTCCAACTATAGACGTAGGAAATGTAGCACAAAGGCCCAAGAAAAGAGGACCTGCTATATGTGTGCAGTATGTGATGTACCCTTGTGCATTGCAACATGTTTCTCATCTTTTCACGGCAAATAATCGCTTTTACATTGCATTTTCTCTATGACCATAAAAGGTCCCGTGAGAAGTATACTTCCCACCCCTAGAATTTAAATGTAAACAAAAAATTTGGCAAAATAAAATATATTTCCTTAAATGCTATTGTTTAGTTGATAATAAAACATAACAAAAACGGGAGAAATTCAAAAGAGAAATAAATGGCCCACGAAAGGGTTAAAAAATGTAAGTACTTAATGGAGGTAAGAAATGCCATTCTTAACCTTCAGAGAATTTAATTGCATAGTAAATGGCATGTAAACAGAACCATAAAACTAAGAATGGATGGAAACTCATACCTGAGTTTTGCTCAGCACTAGCCATAATAACAGCAGTTCTTGCAGCTTCTTTAATTTGACCCAGGGTAAGATACAAATTATACAGATGACGCAAATCCTAAAATATTAAATAGGTAATTGAATAATTCATAGACTTTTTAATAATATACCTACAAAAAAGAACAGAATCCCTCACTTTGCTTGCAAAAGTGCAAACTTCATTATTTTTATTTAAACAGCAAGTTTATTGTTTAACCAGGGTTCGTACACATTTCTGCAAATGGAAATTAAGTACTTTTAAGGACCATTAATGAAAAAAATTAAGCACCTATGAGCAAATGGGCACTGAATAAATTCAATTAAAAATATTATTCTTTGCCTGAATTTCACTTTTGTAATACCATCCTAAAAATAAAATAGATCCCTAAATAATATGCATTATTACTAAACATGAATTAACTAACAACATAATTATTAGTAAGTTTGAGAATAAAATAAACTTCATGCAGTTTATCAAGTAGCATTAAATATTTTACACTTATAACAGTTGGACACATTTGAAAGAAGATAAGTTACATTTACATTTTACTAATAGTTATGCTGATTTTTTTTTAATGTCTCATTTTGTCACATACATGGTCAGTCTAGAGGTTTAGTAAATAGTAATGAGATTTTATGTCAAAAGGCATAGGTTAAAATGAAAAGTGAGATCATAATCAGCATGATTCATAACAAAAGACAATGTTGTCCCTCTGTTGCTTGTCTATAGAGAGACCTGATGATTGGAACAAACCTGAAAGGCCTGATGTAGGCACGGTTGGCAAGTGTTGAAAGTTAGTCAGGCTCTACTTATGTCATAGCTTTGTGTAGAATTCCAGGGGTTGTAACCCAGGTAATACACTTTAAGGTTCCAATAAGCCATTAAAGCACCAGAAGTGATAATTTGTTTTATATATATTATTCGAAGTCTCAGTAGATGCAAAGAATAAGCTTTACTTGAATTTTTACATTTTTGTGCTTTATCTTGTGACCACAGTGAGTATTAATGAAAGGCAATAACTCGCTTTAATATGCAGACATAATTTTTTAAGGGTAAGTAGTTAGTTAAAAATAATTAAATTAGGTAATTAGATAACCTTAGTCATTATGGATTTACATGACCACTATTAAATTTATTTTTTAACAATATTTGTTAAAAAAAGCCCTATTATAATCAAAATCTAATAAAATTTCGCAGTTTAAAATACATGTAAATTATGACATTGCTTCTTAAACAATACTTGGATAATTACACATTAAAAGCTACAAAACATTTATGTTTTGTAACAACACTCAACAAAATACTTATCCACCATTTTAATTTGAAGCCTATAAGGTATTTCTCCCACCTTCATGGCGAGCCTTCGTGTAGTGGTTTGCACATTGAGCCGGTACCCCAGAGGTACGCAGTTTGATTCCTCGCGAAGGCGTTGTTAATTTTTCATCTTTCCTGCTTTCAAAAACACCTAATGTCTCTACAATGGTGCTCGAACTAAAAGGGTGTTGGATGATGGTTCTCCACACCCAGGTTTTGGCGATTGGGTCCCCTAAAAACCCCAGTCGCCCTTTAAAAGGGAGAGTATATAAGGTATTTCTCCCACCTTCTTGGCGACCCTTTGTGGTTTGCGCACTGGGCTGGTATTTCAGAGGTCCGTGGTTCGATTCCCGGCAAACACGTTGTTAATTTTTTATCTTTCCTGCTTTCAAAAATACCTAATGTCTCTACAAGCCTTTGCAAACATTTTGGCTAGTTTATACCAATTTCCTTCTCTTTAAGGCATCTTTTCTGATAATAATTAGAGATTTGTCTTCAATATGCAAACCAATGCTCTCGCTAGTTTCCTGCATGCTTTATCTCCTAACTTGTCAACCTCTCCATAATGTACTTATGAGGGTTTACTTTATCTGGTAAAAGTTAAATAGTCCCAAAAACCCCGATAGACGTGAAGCAAATTATCACTGTGTCTAAAAGTAACTACAATATCAGACAAAGAACTTAAAACATAAAGGCATGTTCTGATGCTAACAAAGTCAATTACAGCTCACAGTGACGTAATTAAACAAGAACAATCAAATTCAAACTAAAAATGTGGACTAGTGGTCAAAGATTATACAATTTAATTTAAATTTAATCTGTCTCAGTAACTATCATATGACGAAACAGAAATGGGAAGTTATAGTAAAAGCTGAAATCACAAACAATTGGGTAATTTACATAATAATAACTGCACATATCTTGAAGAATATTTTCTTTATGTATTCGGTTTCTTTCTCAACGTGTTTCCTTTTAATTTTAGAATTTTTGGATTTAATTAAGGATTTCTGTTATTCTAAAAAACACTAAATGCATTTAGAATGTACAGAAAAAGCGCTAATTTTATTTGTTTAGTAATATGAACATTTAGAAAAATTATGAAATATATATGGTAAAGGCCGGTTACAGAGTAGGTGTGTAGAATTTTTAGAATTTAGTGACACAACAACAAAATTTAGAAATGGCAAAACTTTTAGAATTTTGAGAAGGCATTGGAAGCAGAATTTAGGATACACAGAGATTGCATTAGGTGGGAAAATGCATAGCATCAGCTCTGTGTACAATGCATTTAGACATATTAGATGAATAATTTAAATTGTAAGTTTTCAATTTCTTTATTAACAAAAAAATATCTTTCTATAATGCCTGTCCAAGTGATAAGATTAGAAGCATTTTTTATATTTTCCATGCTTGTGTCTAGTGAAAAGTAGAGAAAATAAAGGGAAGATAAACATGTTAAGAAAAAAGATTCTAGTATCGGGAGTAAAACATTCAAATATTATGTTTCCATTGTTCTTTTAGACGTTCTCCAAAAAGTAAGAAATTCATCGCAAACTTTCTGTAAAATGCATCCATTACATGTTGATACCATGGAGACATTTTTCATTTTGTCACATATTTCTCAAATCTTCTAGAATCGTGAGTCTATAAATCTTGCCTTCAAATCCTTCTAAACTTTCAATGCTGCAATGTCAAAAATACTAAAGAAAAATTATCCCAACCAATTCTGCAACAGCAAAAAGCCAGAAATATTTTGAAAAAAAAAAGGGAAGGAAAAAGTGTAAAATTAATTTTATACCGAAAACTGATGCATATTCTGAGAATTTTGAATAATCTGAGACAATTACATGGGAAAAACGCTTACTATGAAAAATTAAAAAGAAGACATTTTAATTAATTACATTAATTGCAATTAATTAATTTTAATTTGCTTTTACTAAGAGCTGTTTCGTAAATTATGCTTTATAGCTATATACCTTGTTTATTTTTCAGATTAAAAAAATTGTATAAGTTACCAAAATGAAACTTTATAATATGACAGCAAAAAAATAAAAATGTTTTTATTTAAGTTATTTTTAAAATATAATTCTAATATATTACCATTATTTTAATGAAATTTATGAATGTTATGATGTTTAAAAAAAAGTCGCAGAAAAATTCTCAGATCTCGGAATTCAAAATTTTCTATAGAAACTGATCTTAAAATCGCCAAAATGTTGACAAGTTGACAAATTTAGAACCGTTTAATAAAAGAATTTACAACCCCAAAAGCGAAAAGTTGTTTAAGAGCTATTTATTAGAAAAAATGAATTTCAAAATCCTTATGTTTCACTTCTTGCTTAGAAACTCGAGTATCCCATCATTTATATTAGAAATAGAAACAAATTATAACCCATGAACTCATTCGAAAGATAACCATATACGTCAGTGAATCGCCAAAAATATTCCTCCAAAATGCTAATTCACACTCAAAATGGCAGTTGTAAAAACAGAGAAATTTCAGATGATTAAAATTAAGGACCTTCTACTCATTTTGGCCAAAATTAAGGACTTTTAAGGACCAAAAATCAATTAAAAAATTTAAGGACTCTTAAGGATCGTACGAACCCTGTTAACATATAAAAAAAATATAGCTGAAAATATATATTTAACCAATTTTAAAAACTGTTAAATGCTACTTTGGTACTTACCTTCACAGCACCATCTGTCTCACCCATAATATGATTTATAAGCTGACGAGTTAAGTGCTCATCTCGAGCACGACCAGCAGCTTCAATGGCAAGTTTAATACTCTCATCTTCATCCTGACCACTCACTTCAAGCAGCAATTTGATAGCCTATAATAGCAACGGTTTTTATTAGTAAACGTACAAATTACATTGATCAAATTATAATTTCAAGATTCTAAGCCAAAAATGTATAGCAAAGAAAAATTAGTATTTTATTTCTAATATGCAGTAGGAAATCTGAAATCCGGACCACCAACCAAAATAAATAAATAAATATATATAAAAAATAAAACGATAAAAAAAATTCCTTTACAAAGTCTAGGAATGGAGGATATAATAACTAAAGAAGGTAGAAGCGATTTTCCTCCAGACTGAGTTTTCTGTATGCCACTTTTAAATACCTTCTGGCTAGGAAGTTGCAGTGTGGCCAATTAAAAATACATTAATTGACATTTTGCCGAGGTTGGATGAGATCACATTTTAGTTCTTGAGTGGTTATCGAGGGGTGAAGGCTGGTGCTACAAATTAAGTCACCTGGTGCACTCTATGGGTCCTAAATTCTGCTACCTGTACCTCCTTACATCCAAAAAATTTTGCCACCTCCAAATTCTGCTGCCTAGTGCCTCTCCTAAATTCTACAAATTTTGTCTCTCCCAATTTTTACTGTTTGGTGCTCCTCCAAATTCTAAATGGTTTGAGGACCTTAAATTCTGACACCCATGAGTAGCCACACCAGCTGCACTTGCTCTGGTCCTGCAGGGAGGGGAGTTAACATTTTTCAGTCTGGCCACACAGTACATCCCAATGTTTCCATGTCAACATGTCATCATACTAGAATTAAACTGATGATCTAAAATTCAGAAATTTCTGAAATCCAGAATCACTGAAGTTCTGGCTAGTTTGGATATACTTTGTAGTGCATTACACTCAAGCATGATAAAGTCACATTAAAAGTTTTGTAACCTGATTCATTTTTCCTGGCAATAAATCACTTGATAATGCAAAAATTATTTAATTCACTTTATTATTTCAAAATTATCCATTTATTTTAAACAGCCATTAATGTACCCACATCATCCTCAAAATTTCATATGGAACTCTAATGTAATGCACTACTAAATAATTGTAAGCTGAAATATAAACTTACTACAAAAATTAATTTATTAATAAACATTTATAAGTGAACAGATGTAGAATGAAAGGTTCTCACATTTCAGGCTCAAAAGGTTTAAAGCAAACCTGAAGTAAAAGAACTTCACAAGTAAAAAATGCATGTATGCATTTTTGTATATATCGATTGTTTAACTGGCTAAGGTTGGGTGTGGAACAGGTACTTGGTTTTCATTCAATTTAGTTAGTATCCTGTTAAGCTTAACACGCATAAAAGTGAGTGCTAAAATTCTATATAAAAGAATCCAAAAAATCTAAAGCTGTTTTTCCTTCTTACAGTGAAGATTCAAATATTAACATCTAAGTTTGTGTCTAATATTTCACATAAAAAAAATACCTGCATTTTTCAAAAACTGAGAAATAAAACTGAATGAACTTATTTAGAATGCCATATAGTCTTATATGAAAATGCAAATTGAAAAACTGACTATAAATGTATGCGATACAAGACTGTCTCAGAAAACAAATAAAAGTGAAATATATGACAAATTGTGGGGGGGGGGGACTGAAATGTTTCAGATTTTAACGGTCACCTAAAAGGATTTGTTAATGTATTTTATGCTCTCACTGAGTTCACAGTCTACCAGTTTGCTGTTGCACTCACTCCTGCTAATCTACTTTTTTTTGTTTTGTTTTTATCTTTTTAGCTCTATTATTAAGCATCACTTTCTTCATGCTTTCATCATATGCAATTCAACAGCAAAATCACAAAAAATTTAAAAGCAGCATTTGTCTAGAATTCTTGATGCACTGTCATATAACATCCCCCCTGTCTTTTCTCAGTTCGTCATACCAATGACCAGTTTCCTTAGCAAGATAACTTACAGAACGTTTTCTTATGATTATTATGAATGTTTTTTGTGTTATTTTATTTATTAAATATTACACTCTTTGCATTTGTGCTACATAAAACTGAATTCAACAGCAAGAACACAAAATATTTATAAACCGCATATCTTTAGAATTTCCGTAAAACAATTTTGCATGCTGGAGATAAAACTGTTTTTATCCGTACAGTGTTGCCATTGCCCGCTTTCAAATCATTGACTTTCTTAATCAAAAATTTTTACAAAATATGAAATAAATGAAAGAATACACAAAATCAAAATACTTAATGTCTCTACAGTGGCACCCGAACTAAAAGGGTGGTGGATGATGATTCTCCACACCCAGGATTTGGCAATCGGGTCCCTTAAAACACCAGTCGCCCTTTAAAAGGGGGAGTAGATAAGGTATTGCTCCCACTTTCTTAGTGTGCGTTCATGGTGTGGTGGTCTGCATGCTGGGCGTGTATTCCAGAGGTCCGTGGTTCGATTCCCAGCAAAGGCTTTGCTTATTTTTCAAGTCTCATGCTTCCAAATACCTAATGTCTCTACAATGGTGCTCACACTAAAAGGGTGGTGGATGATGAATCTCCACACTCAGGATGGTGATTTGGGGTCCCAAAAAACCCATCGCCCTTTAAAAGGGGGAGTATATAAGGTATTTCTTCCGCCTTCTTGGTGTGGTGGTCTGCAAGCTAACAGCGTATTCCAGAGGTCCATGGTTCGATTCCCGGTGAAGGCGTTGCTCATTTTTCACATCTTGCCTGCTTTCAAAATACCTACTGTCTCTACAGTGGCACTCGAACTAAAAGAGTAGTGGATGATGATTCTCCACACACAGGATTTGGCGATTGGGTCCCCTAAAACTCCAGTCACCCTTTAAAAGGGGGAGTATATAAGGCATTTCTCCCACCTTCTTAGCATGCCTTTGTGGTGTGGTGGTCTGCACGCTGGGCACATATTCCAGAGGTCCGTGGTTCGATGCCCTGCGAAGGCTTTTCTTTTTTTTCAAGTCTCTTGCTTCCAAATAACCTAATGTCTCTACATGTTAATAAAAAACAGACAGATTCAATTTAAAACATAAATACCTAACATTTTGCTGAATGGCAACACACTTGAATGAAAAGTGATATGGGCACATTTACACTGATGTGACGTGAAATCCTATTTCGAGACTAATAGCCTCTTTTTCGCTAAAACAAAGAAAAATAAAAAAAGAGCAGTGAATATGTTGGAAACAAATACAGAGCTCTATTAGTGATATTAAATGCGACCTTCCTAAAGTTCTAAAAGTAACACAATTTAATCATTTTAAGGTGGTTCCATCATCAGTATGTTCTTTAAGGCACAGAGACTGCACAATTCTTTTCAAACTTACAGCATAAATTTGGTAAAGGATTCAAATCAGTTTTGCTAACCAGCTCATTTGTTCTAAGCCTTGAATTTCAAGAAATTTATAAAGCATGTGTACCTGATATGGATGCCTACTGCATGCATAAATGAAAAATACAATCCACATGCACTTGAGTAAGTTTTTATATCAATATATGTATGGAGACACAGAACTTTTATTGAACATGTTACAGGGAAGTACATCTATTAACTGTGGCAACCAGATTCTAACTACCACACAGGGCAACACTTGCACTTCTGGTTTTAAATGGCTTCAAAACCATCCATAATTCATCATAATCTCATTTTCTTTCGTTAAAATCAGAACAGTAGCCATTATGGGCCTCTGAAAAGAGTGCTGCACCTAACACTCCAGGCTAGTTCAGTCAGGCTCTCACAATTACTGGTTATGTTACCTAATGTTAGAGAAGCTTCCCCCAAATGCCAGGATATTTAGAAAATATGTTAAACTGAACTTTCACTCATTGCTGCAGAGAACACAGCATACTTCTGTAGATTTAAGTGATCCATCTCCTAGGGTGTGCTTCAGACTAAACCTGGGACAACATTTGCTGAAGTTCTGAGATCCCACTTACATTTCCTACCCTGCATCAATTCCCTGGTGCTTTTTTTTTTTCATTGTGTATTTAGTGAAACAAAAACCTTGACCCATTATTGCTGTGCCTTTAAGCCAGAACATAATTTCTGTCATAAAAGCCTATCTCATCAACCCCTAACATGACACCAGTGTATAGATATGCTTATAATGCCACTTATTAAATGCCCTGCAATTTGCCAAATACTGTCACAACTAAAGCACATCATACAGTAAAGTACAGCTACACTTAACACACAAGGATTTCTGTAGAGAGCCAGCCACCAAAACAACAGTGTTGCAGTGGCAACTGTAAGAGCTGGACAGTGAAGAACAAATCTTGTCATTATAAGCAATCATACACAGGAAATGATTATGCAGAGCAGTTGCTTTTTCTTTTAAAACCTTGGTTTGGTCTCCTAGCAACCGCTTGACTTTCAATTGTTCTTGGTGGTAGGGGCTATTTGTTTTAAAAAAAGATTATAATCTTGCCATTTCTCAAACTATTTGAAATGCTTCCAAATGGCCAACAATTTTTTTTTTAACTCAAAGATTGTTCCAAATGATGGCTATAGTTTTTAATAAATACTGACATTACACCATTATTTGCCTTTCAGAAAGAACACCAGACTGGATAATAATTCAGTTCATCTTTTTCCCATTTCATGAGAAAATAAATAAGATTAATTACTTCGTGAAATACCATTATTTTTATCTGCATAAAGATAATTTTGGACAAGAAGTGCACATTAAAGTCGCTTTAATTTACAGCCCAAAATGTACAGTTTTTTCCCACTTAATACACTTAAATATGCACAAGCAAAAATCATATATATTGCTGCTTATTAGCTTCTACATCGTTAGCAGCATAAAAAATATATCAAAATACTAGTAATTATCAGAATATGTGTTGTAAATAATTATAACAATAAATTGGAAGAATTTCTAAGGGAAGTAGAAATTAAATCAGGAATAGTTTTTTAAGTTAAGAAAGCCAGTATTTACACCACACGAGGTAAAACTATAACTATTTCCGCCTGTATAATTCTCAGCAAGCTTACCCATGTGGAACAAACAATATTTCACAGCTTTAGACACTACTAACAGGAAAAACATGTGTCACCTCA